GTCTGTAGGGTAGGGTTGTGAATCAGTTGGACCCCTTTTGAACATAGTCCACGTGGCGTACATGGACAACGCAAGGAGTGCCGTCACCATGTCACGCTCGCTTCTAAGATTCAAAACTGGCGCATGTGGCACTCTTCAGGCTAACAGAGGACAGTCCAAAGAATTCCAAGTCTCCCCATAAACTTCGAAAATGGGCGAGCTTTGCGTAGTCACGGACGGTGCTAGTGCAATCGTGTCACAGAAGGACAAAACAAAGCGTTACTGTCATAACAACAGTTCGCGACGTTAAGATAGTTTCTCTCATATGAAAGAGAGAAAAAATGCGATGCAAGCCTAAGCGCGTCTTGGAGCACAATCAGAGCGCAACGGGTGGCGACCAGATGGACAGAACTTATCATACTATTCTCGCCTGCGCAGATCTATGGATTGGACTATGAAAGTGTTTCACTCGTTGTTACAGACAGTTCTGCATAGCGTGTAAATTATGCACAAAGCAGACGGCGAGACGCTTGTCTCTCACAAAGAGATCAATGAGGCGGCCATTCAAATATGACTGCGGGAAGGAAGGCAGCCCCTGTCGTCCACGGCCTCGAAGCACCAGCTTATGACTGCGGAAAGGAAGGCAGCCCCTGTCGTCCACGGCCTCGAAGCACCAGCTTATGACTGCGGGAAGGAAGGCAGCCCCTGTCGTCCACGGCCTCAAAGCACCAGCCTATGACTGCGGGAAGGAAGGCAGCCCCTGTCGTCCACGGCCTCAAAGCACCAGCCTATGACTGCGGGAAGGAAGGCAGCAGCCCCTGTCGTCCACGGCCTCGAAGCACCAGCCTATGACTACGGGAAGGAAGACAGCAGCCCCTGTCGTCCACGGCCTCGAAGCACCAGCCTATGACTGCGGGAAGGAAGGCAGCATCCCCTGTCATCCACGGCATTGGTTGGGGGAGCTCCGGCGAAAAGGTTGACCTAACGCACTCCCAAACCCAGATTACAGCCCGGATCGTGGTTGCTTGAATTTGCGTCCTCGATGTCAAAGTTGAAATCTGTTGACATGTTCTCTAGTCAAAATCGTTTTCCTACGGAGGAATGACTTCCAATTTCACGTTAATCTGAGCCGCCTTTGTATGAAAAGCTTACAGTGTGGTGTAACATAATTTTTAAAAAAAAATAAGTCTCAGCAAGGGTTCACTGATGACTACCGCTGTCGCTGATCGTGCTATATAGCTAGCCACAACTGTTACGATTATAGGACAAAACATTTGGCCACTGTTAAGGAAACATGCGTTGACTTTTATCTGCCCCCCCCCCCTACACTTTTCAAAGCTGCCGCATATTGTAGTCAATTCTTCTTCATCTCAATCCAGACGTCACCATTTGAAAGACATGCCAGACTTTAGCAGACTGGCTTAACACATGAATGAGTCAGCATGACAAAAAACTATTTAGTTCAAAATCAACATGGTACTAAAAGTGATATCTTTAGTCACCCATTACCTAAGACGCGTATAATTAAGATTAACTGTTCTCCATTTATTTTGGCCAGGTATTCCCTTTCTGTTCATATGCATCGAGGGGGCTCGGAGGAGCTTCCAATTATCAGACAACTGCAATTGTACCAAACCCATTCTCCGGTGGTCAGATGCGGTCACCGGGCGGTAATTTGTTTCCAGTCATGGCATGGAACTTAGTTGACTCGTTTCATACTTAAGACTGCTTTTAGTTTGTCGTATTCACGTGCCATCCAGATAAATGAGGAAAGTAAACGTCATTTCTTTCGTGCGCCATTCGGCAGGATTATTAGGCTGTCAAAAGCCCATTTGCAAGAGCGCTTGGGGTCTTTGCATAATTTGTTTCCCGGTATCATTTGCCACAGTCGAAGCCGATCTTAGTAACAAAAAGATAGGAGGCGTGGGGGGGGGGGGAGGGGGGAGAGCGCCACTTAAGCCAAATCACCGTGGCAATCTGCGACTATTGCTTAAACGATGGATTTAAACGACATACGCTCCAAAAAATTCGGGCTTTTGCAGCTTTAGACGTGTTTATGTACAGTTTTTCTCCACCTGTTATGACAACATTTACGGAACGTTTGAAATGCTATACTTTTAGGTTGACTTGCTCGTAGCTTGCTCCTCCTTTGTTGGTGATAATCATGAGATATGCAACATAAAATATGCGGTCAGTTCCCTGAAATAAGGGTAAATCTCGTCTTGACTGATGGCCACGACCCACAGCCTACAGGGTATCACAATATTTTATTCCACACCACATTATATTGAACGGAAACGAGCCACGTTTTCCAAACAAAATCTGATTCGGAGGAAAATCCCGCCGTCAATGTCTGCATCCACTTCCCTCACCCCCTTTGATCAAATTTGCACTGGTGGCATGTAGCTCAGACATCGCTTAAAGCTGCATTCATACTCGCAGGAAACAGAGCATGTCCGTAAAATTTCGCTCAATCACAATGTTGTGCAGCACGTGAGACATCATGCGGGGAGTTACGTGGATACCAACTGCCAACGTCCGGTTTCCGAACATAGGCATGCACCCTTAGATAAGCAGGTATATGATGCCATCACTCATTGGACAGCACTTAATCCGACCGGATCGCTTGTAATATTTATTGTGCAGGCTTGATGAACTTCTATATAGCTAAGTGAAGCAATGAAGACGAAAACGCTTCGCACTAATTAAATAACTCTTGTCTTGCGACATGTATTTTATGTCGCGTATCAAATCGCAGCTCTCGATATGCTAAGGCCGACCACATTATCCATAACGCATGTTGAGCCCACGCACGCAATGTAGGAAGTGAAACGCCAGTTGTGTAAATCACTCCATCCGCCTACCCTCCCTCATATTCTACGAATCTTTGTCCATTTATTCGTCGCCCACATACCACACCGCCTGCCCTAATCCGAGGGTCGGGCCACGTGGCCCTTCAGGTGCCCCCCCCCCCCCACACCAGCAGGAGGCTTTCTTTGAACTGACCAAACGACTGAAAACGACTAACTCCACAGCCGGCACTTTGCACCTCCAACGATTAGCACGACTTTATCGACAGCGGAGCGGTTAACTGGAATTCGCTCGCATGTACATGCATCTTTCGATTATGTTAATTCTTAGCTTGATGTGCTGTGTTATAGAAATGGCTGGCAATTCGTACTTGTTTAATCCCCTAAATGTTAGATGTAACTGGGCTGTTTTTCACAAGAAGGGAGCTCAGATAAACTTTAAACTTGTAAATCATTCCTCCGCAGGAAAATATTTTGACTCTATAAAATATATTTTTAACAAATCAACTTCAACATCGAGAACCCACATTCAAGCGGCTGGGACCCGGGGTGTAATCTGGGTTTGGGAGTAGGTTAGGTCAACCTTTTCGTCGGAGCTCTCCAAACCAATGTCAGAACGTCACACCCCTGGCTACGACGAACGCTTGCTTTTCGGTTCTGCAGCGCCGTGATGACGACTAGAAAGTCCGAACAAGAAGACCGAGCCAGTCAAATATTTGACACCAGACCCGTGAGGCGCCACGAACGAGGAACTTACTGGGTGGTCTTGAATAGACCAAGATCCGGGCAAATATTTGAACTTTAATGCAGCTGAAGTTGAATTACAACAAAACGGCGCACTTATTTTAAGAAGCGCATTTTCTCAACCTGGTCGTGGATAATCTGACTCGAATACTGAGAGCTAATTGACGGCCGCTGTGTCTAGGAAATCGTGTTTACAAACGTCAGGTATAAACGACTCGACAATTATATTTGCGTTGGCCTTGGTCGCCGTGTGGCTAATGGATTTACAGGATCTGAATAGCATTATGGAGTCATAGATGCCTGCATGACCTTGAGACAGTCTGCAAAAATAGCATGCACATCTTCGCGGGTGTGTGGCTCAGAAAATAGAGGAGTATAGGTCTTAGGAAGGGGAGGGCTGTGCACTGCACCGAATGATCCCCAAGGATGGCCATTTCAGTTAAAAACCCAAAGAAATGTGGAACACTTCCTTTGATCGTTGGCAAGTCGAGTCAAGGTGACATGTGCTCAAAACATAAGACGCATGGTTATGGTGTCAGTATTATGTGTGGTTCGGTGACCGTGACCATACCAAGGAGACACATAAATCCCTCCACAGTAAATTGCACAACATATGCCAGAGGTCACGGGCAGCTGTGAGAAGCTGGCGTTATGTGTGGGTTGTAGAATCAAGAGCACATGCTAATACTTGCGTAAGATTATACTTCTGTTTTCAGAGAATGGCCTCATATAGATTTTGTTTGTGATGCCTAGAACCATCTGCAAGTCACAATGGTCGAATCAGCATATGCAGCATGTGTCCTTTCATTCATCATTTCACGAAAGCATTGATACCAGGGATGACCATTGATAGCATTGATATCATGGATGGAATAGTGTTTGCGGAGCATCGTCCTAACCCAGACAAACTACCGATTAACACACCAGGCGCGGACGATAGTCCAAACGGAGTGCAACCGTGATGCATCTTTCCTTTTCAAAAATCACTGCAGTACATTGTGCTTGTGCAACAGACGCATGCTGAAAACCTTTTACTCTATTGTTACATCATCTCGGTTGGTTGTGTGTTGGCTGCGAGAGCAGAGTGGAATTTCCAGCGCTGTACTTCCCTATAACCGACACTGCAACAACATCCTTTGCGGATTGCAAGAAGTCGTTTCCTGGCCTAGTAAGCCCGTGGCTACAGGACGTCCCGATGATGGTCTGGAGTCGCTTAGCCGGACATGTCGAGGCCAGTACCCTTGAACGCGGCAGGATCACATTCAGGTCAGGGCCAGACGAGCACAGGGAGCCGCGCACAAAACTGCTCACCAATTCAGCATCACATTAACCATCTCAGGCCCAGCTGCCGTGTTTATAGCGTCAGACCCCGCGCTCCCCTGATTGGAGCCCCTGAGTTCGCCCCTGGCCCCGCCATGGCGGCCGTGGCAGGGCCGAGCGTTGACGCCGGCCGCCTCGTCGCTGCAGGGGCTGGCCAACTGGGCTCTGCGCGAGCTGAAGAAGGAGGGTCGCCTCCAGCAGGTGGCGCCCGGTCGGTTTCGACTACCTCGACGACGTGTGCCGCCGGCCACCCGCGAAACCGACGAGCAGGGCGCCGAGACCGACGAGGCGGCTCAGGGGCGCCTGCAGGCCTGGCTGGAAAAGCGGGACAGGTCAGGTCCGATTTTTTAAACAATGTTGTGTCACTGAGCCATATGGCTCAACTTAAAATGGTAATATGAGGGAACACAGAACGCCCCAGACAATCTAACATATCATTTCAGAATCTTGTTGATCCCGATCTTAAGTTTGGCAAGTCCCAGTTAGAAACCAAAGGATATTACATGGTATAGAGATTCTACATTCCCACATCTTATGCTTTAATCAGTAACAAATTTCGGCTAGCTATAAAATCCGAGGGCTGGTGATGTTTTCCATTGTCAGTTTTAACACTGATGAAACAACCCATGCCCTATTCACTACTTGAACTGCTGCAAGCATGCTGTAACTGAAGCCATATGAACAAGACAGCAATAGTGGCAAGTTGATACTTTGTTATTGAATAACTACAGTGTTTTATATTTTATGTAACTATAAACAAAAATCTATAATATATATATATATATATATATATATATATATATATATATATATATATACGTATATATAATCGGCCATATGGCTCACGCGCCATGAGGCAACGAGCTAAAACTGAATAGGCTCTCTGATTTTACCAGCAGCGTGAGTAATGGGCCAAATGGTTCAACACAAGAGTGAGTTTAAACTGAGCTGAGTTAAAAAAAATGGGACGGTTGTGAGTCATGACCGAAATCGGATCCCAGGATCTCGGAGCCGGTCCTGAGACGGCTCAAAAAGTTTGAATAGAATGCAAGTCTGGCTGTAGACATCATATTTGTGCACGGATTTCTGCATCATATAAAATACAGCGACGTGATGTAAGAAAGTCCCTCAGCTTCTGGTTTTTGGCACTATGAGTTGAAAATTCAATGACACGAAAGATTCTATTAAAATCTGAAACATCTGTTTCCGATTCACTGAAGTTTTATAATTGCGTCGAGAGAAAGCCCTATGGTCTCAACGCTATTTTGACGATGGGTTTTTCCTACAAATCTTTAAATCCATACGACGTGCATTACTTAAGCCCTCCTGACTGAAACACAAAAGGTCATACACCCCACGCTTCAAAATGACATTCCGTTGCCCAGGAGGGCTGGAAATTTCTGTATATAAATGCATATTCTACTGGCCAGACAGGTCGAACCAGGTGCAGAGCCTTTGGAGCATGTACACATATCGTAGACGTTCTTATTGACACCAAATGTAAAATAAGTTTGTGAAACAATTAAGCTACAATAAAAAATGCGAATGTTTACCAAAACACTGATAAATGGTGAAAATCAGCAAATTTTTAAACTGAAAAGCGGTTAGCTAAATCAATTTTTTTCGTAAAAAAATCATTGTGGTCATATGCTCATCGAAAGGAAAAAACATTCCGCTCCCCTAAAAATCGCGTTTCACCTGCTTTACCTCAACCTATTCTCCGGGAACATGAGCATCACCTTGCAAAGTCCGATTTTCCCCACGGTATATCCATAATGATAGTTTCATATCGCCCAGAGCCAGGAGCTCGTGATCTAATTCATATTTAGCATCCAGTTTTGTAAGCCCTGTGAAGAAAAGTGCTCGTGCTGCTCGGCCTGTACAGCTCTCTACATATTTGCACCTCCGATGTGGCGCCTGACTTTGAGCCCGTTCATTGAATATTGCTTAAGCAGTTCTTTACGGCCTGATTTGACATTTGAAGATAAAAGTTCCTGTTCTTTTTCAGGCATGACTAGTAGCCATTCTTACATCATATTCTGACGATGATGACAATGATCCCTTTTACCTGTAGCCGTATTGACAGTTTCTTTGTCAGCGTGATCTTTCACTCCGAGTGGAAAAGAGAAAACTATGCCAGTTATTCGGGTGGTTTACACGGACATTATCCGGTCAAAACCTACTTTGGCTTAGGTTCCGTTCTGTGCACACCGAGCCCAAAATTAGGCACACCACCATGTATGCGCTAACCACATAATTTGTTATCCATTTGCGAAGGCGAAATTCCAAGGCATTGCTCAAGCCACCAAGCTATTGCGCACTCTAGCGGGGCACTTTCTGGTGTGGTTGATCTGCTTGCTGTTGGCAAATCATGCAATAATATAAATCCGAATTTTAGCTCCCAATCGTAAGGCAAAGATCACAACCATTAACCCATCTATAGCGGGCTACGTTAAATAAACAAAAATAGGGGCCACTAATCGCGACACGTGCATGACTTTATATCCACGGCAGTGCTTCGTCTTTTTAGGTCGTCGTCTCTGCAGACTGCATTACTTTGGCACGTAATTTACCATCCACCCACCATCATAGCTGATGCAAGAGCACAGACTGGTCTGTTGTACCACCACATGCAATGCTAAATCTTGCTCAGTTCCAAGTTTCCGCCTTCGGGAAACCCGGGACTTCCCCGCACAAACCCCAGAGCGCCGCAGACACCGCTGCTGTAAACCGGACTGCGTGTGTGGCGCGTTCAACCGTCCGTCAGATACGCCCCGGGTACATCAGAGCGGCGAGGCAACGCCACGGTGCGCAGGCGGGTTGCCTGCCGCCGACAACTTTCGTAGGAAGGCAGCCGGCTGCTCATACCGCAGTCTGCAATAATGGTGTGTCGGCAGGACGAAGATGATACTGCAGTCGGCTGTGCTTTAGGCGAGCGGCTGCGGCAATCAGATAAGGGGCGTTGCAGGGCTCCGCGGAGCCCGTGTAATCGGCGGCGCCAGGGCTCCGGCACAGCCAGCATGTGTTTGGCTTGTGGAGAAAACGTTGTTCACGAGTATATTGCTTGCTGTTGGCTGGAATAACATTGCACTGAGATGGTCAAATTCCTGACGATGACCTGTGCCGATCATTACACGTCTCCCGTAAGTGACCTTTCACCTGCCACCGCAAGGACTGCCCCCGCCTCTGTCAGTGACCGCACAGCATCTGCACCTGCCAATGACCACAGAGTTCCCCAAACCCGTCGTTAATCATGCAGTTGGCAGCCCGGTCGTTGGCCACACAACTTTCCACGGTTGCGGCCGCTGGCCGCTCTGGCGACGACCACTGACGTCAGCGCGATCCTTCCCGCTCGGCCGGTGGCAGCTCACCCCCCCCCCCCCCTTCTCTGCCGCGAGACGTGCATTCCTGGCCAGAGCTGTGACGTCATCGGGACGTCTCACCCAAATCTGCCCAGCTGGATGTGACAGGCTCCGGTGCAGATGTGGGGATTTGTGTTGCTGTGTGAGGGTCCTGGCTCCCGATGAGGACTCGGGGTCCAGTGCCAATTTCTCTCTCCCATATTCCTTGTCGGAATATCACAAAAGTTGAGGGAATATTAACAATTCTACCAAAGCTGGCCTTCTTTGGGTTTGTCTCATGCCCACGGCCACTATGACCCTCAAAATATTTTTTAGAATTGATGCAGACGTCTAAAAGGAAAAGTATTGTCCGTCGGAAAGCGGGCCAAATTTGTTTGACATAAATTTGAAGGGAAACTGCGTTGCTGGGCCTCGGTTTCGCTTGCCCTGATTACGCAGAGCATTGTCCCTGCTTTCTTGGGTTACTGTGTACATCGCGCTGCAAGAGCGTAGAAACCTCAAAGAAACGGTGGGGGCTGATGCTCGTGTGCATGTCGGTTTCTTTGATGCATCACCTGTGGTGGCGAGGAAGGCCAAGAGGTTTCGGATGCAAAACGCCATTGGGCTTAGTTTTTCCCGTGCAGGACTACAGAGTTAATGACTCATCAATGGTTAATCTGGCCCCAGAGTTGACGGGGAAGCTACTAGGCGTTAACAGCGTTGAATGGACCTCAGCCCTCACCCTCCCCAGTCTAAAGTATCTGAGCCCTTGGTGCAGCGTCCTCTACCCCCTCCCTCCCCTAACTCCGTGACGAATGCATTTACAGCGTCGTGTCCCACTCTTCTTGGAAAACCAGCCGCTAAGCACACCGGGCGCTCGTGAGCACAGGCTGCTGCTCGCCTCGTGCCGAGGGAACGTGCGGCTGGCGCCTGGCGTAACTTAACAGAAGTTACCTCATGTGCCATTCCTGTTGAGGTGAAGTATCAATAGCTGGCTGAGGGTGTTCCAGAGGGGAGTGTTCCATAGCGAAGGTGTTGGACACACTGGCTTCGGACTTCGCATTTCTTGGGAGAGGTGTGCAAGTGCAAAATTTGTCTACAGCTGTGACGGGGTAGAGCATGTCTAGGTTACTGTTGACTATGGTCCAAAGGCATGCCAAGATAAGCTGTGACTCGCTTTGATGATGATGATGATTCGGACAGGAAAGCGCGCCGACTGCCGACTGGTTCGACTGGTCCTTTGGCGCTCATGCATTACTCACATTTCTGCCCGTGAGCATGTGCCAGAACATCGAACCACCGGCCAGTCGGTCAACAAGCGGGGCCTTAAGATTTCGGGCTTCAAACACGCATAATTAGGGCTGCATCTTTGGGCCCTCAAGCATGTGCGCAGAGACCTGTTTACACACTTTCAGGCCATTGTTCTTCAAAAACATTTCGTCACCTATAAAAACCGGTACTTTTGCTCCAGACCCCTTTCGATTTTCGGGAAACGTGGTAGAGATGGAAGGTCCCACGAAAGACGAATAGAGGCTTATTTGAAACCCCAAATGTCCTCTGGGGTCAGTAGCAGGAGTTCAATATTTGCGCATTTTCACAAACCCAACGGCCTCCGTAATGCCGTGCATAGCTCACATAACGTGACAATGTTAAAACCTTTGATGCTCATTTGGCGTCTCCTAACTGGGTGTTTCATGTGTGGCGTTTGCATGAACTTTGACCTAGCCATGTTAACAGTAGTCCATTTTCTTTAATCTTCGTATGACGTGTTCGTGTGTTTGCAAAAATGACGAAACAACGTTTTTTTTTGGGGGGGGGGGAATGCAGGTCGCATGCGGAATCCAGAAATAAGGGACACAGCTGCAAACTGTCAGTAAAACGTAGCGCATAGTTTGCACACAAAAAGCCAACCTCCACATTTTCAGTGTGTTTATTTTTACTACCTACTTGGATTGCTTTACGTACACGTATAGTTCTCACGTTCCGAAAGGCGTGAGATTCCATAAGCTCAGTTTTTGACATAATCTGCATGATAACAACTTGCAAGTCTCACGTTTGTTATCACATTGTTTGGTTCGTTCCACGCCACAAAAGGTGTGCCACCTGTCTTAAATGTTCCAGGGTTTTGCATGAACTTTGACCCATGCATGTTCACAGTAATCCATTTTTATTATTTACATTTATTTGATATTAATACGATGTTTGAAGCGGATCGGGCCGAATATTTTTCGATCTTTTCGGCTTTCATCGTTTCCCGCCTGTTTCATGTTTTCTTTTCGTTTTGCAGCATATGCTCTAACATATTAACAGCGAACTGGGAAAATAACTGTTGGGCAGCAAAAACACAACAGCAAACGAAACATTGCCCGTCCTGCTGCTTATCATACATAGTTTACCTAGCGGGCATTCATAAATTTGGCTCCGAAGGTTCCATACCCCAGCCTCAATGCGAAGAAACCAAACTTTTCTAGGTGGCCTGGGTCATGCTCTGTGACGTGCATATACATGGGCAGTTTTCAAACATATCGGTTAAGTGACCCGACAGGTTTCGTCAAGCGCGATAAGGTTCCCTAGCATCCGATATGTGCAGAAATGTTTCGTTGTGTACATGACGGAGGGAAGTCAGTAAGGGTCATCGACGGCCAAAGATGACATAGACCCTCCATAACATAGACCCTCAATGACATCGAGCTTGATTGACAGATTGTGAGGCTTTTATGTTAGATATCTATCCGGTACCTGCACTTGAATTCGCTACATGGCTCGGAGTTATGGGAATGCGATGCTAGCCAACGGGACGAGTCCAAACGAGCGGGAGCGCACTAATATTTTGCTCTAAGAGTATCCGGCCGCATCGCGTTGCATACCAATAGCCCGAGCCTCTTGAAATGGCATAGTAATTATGGCACGTTAAATATGCTGGAATAGGAGCCCAAAGTGTCTACGGCATCCCACTTTTATTGAGTGCTTAATATCGGCTTGTAGTGATATTGGTCGTCATGTTTATGGCTTCGGTTGCTCTTTGCTGATCGCCTTCTAAGTGTAACTTGGCCGGAACATTTAAGGGTCCAAGTCCGAGCCGTGGCGTGGGTTTGCAAGGAGAGCCACCATCACGCTCCGCGTACGTGCTTCAGACACCGCGTCCGGACCCGGATGGAGGAGCGATACCGGCGGCGGCAGCGCCGTCTCTCGCAGTCGTCCAGCTCCGTCCGTGTTTCAGACACCGCGCTCGGACCCGGATGGAGGAGCGATACCGGCGGCGGCAGCGCCGTCTCTCGCAGTCGCCCAGCCCCGTCCGTGTTTCAGACACCGCGCTCGGACCCGGATGGAGGAGCGATAACGGCGGCGGCAGCGCCGTCTCTCGCAGTCGTCCAGCTCCGTCCGTGTTTCAGACACCGCGTCCGGACCCGGATGGAGGAGCGATACCGGCGGGGGCAGCGCCGTCTCTCGCAGTCGTCCACCTCCGTCCGTGTTTCAGACACCGCGCTCGGACCCGGATGGAGGAGCGATACCGGCGGCGGCAGCGCCGTCTCTCGCAGTCGTCCAGCTCCGACGTCCTCTCGACGACGGCGTCCGAGCAGTCGATCGGCGCAGCGACGTCCGAACAGTCGGTCTCGACGGATCAGTGACTGGCGGAGCTCCGCGGGCCCGCTCCGCTCCTCCGGTGCCGCCTTAGAGCGGACACTGCTGTCAGCTGACGCGGCGCTGCTGAGGCGGAGCTCGAGCGATTGTCGGCGCTGGATCAAATTTAATTCACCTGGATGTTTGGTGTTGATCTGTTTCATTGTCGACATGTACGCAAGCACCCGTCCATCGTGGAATGGCGAAATGCATAAATTACGACTAAGTATCAGTTGGTGGCAAACTGCCCGCAATAAATAGTTTCAGCTCTATTCTGTCACAGTATATACAAACGTGGTTTGAGTCGCTGCGCGATTACCAGTAAGCCAAGCCCTTGAAGCGCTTTTCTGCGATGACCGTATGTTGAAATGTTAAGGAAAATGGTGGTGTATTGGTGTTTCGTAATACATTTTTCGAAAAATGTTTGTCATGTTCCACCAAAGAACATAGTAATCAAGCTACGCATATCAACTCACTATCGTGTTATGCGTGAAAAAAGCTATCAAGACACCAACATAACCTGTCTTCTTGCCACACCACCACGGTTACACGCCAACCTCGTCGATAACAGCAGATGACGGACGTCTTTAATCAACATTTCCGCGCTCTGAGTGGTGCAACTTGGCGACGTTGTTCGCTACAGGTTTTAAAAGACTTGCCATGCAGCGAGCGCATCTGGCTAGAA